ATGAGCTCACAGAGATGTACACGCACACATACACTCTAAAACATTTTCTGAAGTAACTGCGCAGTTACGCGGAGGACTCTTTGCTTCTCCAAACAACAAAATGCGTGCAAAAGATTGCACACAGCACTGCAAGGGGGCGCTTTCCTCCTTGTGAAGATGTTCGTGAGTTGATTGATATGTGGAGTTTAATGTCCCAAAACCGCCATATTATTATGAAAGACGCCGTAGTCTTTGACGCCGTAAATTTCAACTACCTGGGGTTCTTTAGCATACACCCAAATCTGAGCACACGGGCCAACAGCATTCCCGCCTCCATCGAAAATGCAACCATTGAAAAGCTGATTACATATACAGGCTGTTTCACGTAACTTTAGTCAGAGTTTAAAAATATGCCGAAACATGTAATTACGACGCGACCAAACGCAAGTTGCTTACCGTTGCCTGGAGTTAGTCGGACTATTTTTCGTGTTGTCAAATATTGTTCAATTAGATATGTTTAATTAACTAACTTTTCAAGAAAGGAACATAGGTAAGAAAATTCGATAAGACAGTTTTGAACTCTATATCTGTTAGGTATTAGTGTTTTTCTGCTAATTACAAATGCTTGCAAAATACAAAAGATACCACGTGACAAACCCGCTCGTGCGCCAGTGCGCACAATGACTCTAGTGCTTCCTAACGTTCTGCGTACAAACGACCATAGCATTTGCCTGTGCTGTCTCAGCAGGGCCACAATTACAGTGGTGGCATTACGATGAACACGTTTTGCTATCGGCGCCAAAAACGATAACCGCTGTGACTGCTTATCGCTGTCATGAACCGGTGCGAGGGAAGCTTGGCGTTTGTACACGGAACGTTAGGGAGCACTAGAATCATCGTGTGCACTGACGCGCGAGCGGGTTTGTAACATGGTATTTTTTGTTTATTTAGCGGGCATTTGTACGTAATTATGTGTTCCAACATATTTTTAAACTCTGGCTAAAGTTACCTGGGACACCCTGTATATCCTGGACGAGTGAGGTAGGTTGTTGCCCCCCCCCCCCCTCATCTCGCGAAAGAGTTGGTGTGCCACTGCCAACAAAGTGGAAGTGCATATTCTAGAGTCAGTTTCTTTTTGTTTTGTTTTTCTTTTTACAATTGAGTGGCTATAAAACACTGCATTCACACACCGTTTAATAGTTCTCATGTTTGGAACGATGCCAAGAGCATTTTGTTATGTGCTTGAAGCAGAAAGCGGCACCCACTCTGAAATTATTCTGGAGAATGGAAGGTACGACGACAATAAACATCACAGTGAAAAGTTACACTTGCCGATCTTATTACAATGCATTAGCAGTCGAGCAAGACCAAATGCTTTCCTACGTTGTTTCACGCATACGTAGAAACAGTTGCACTTGCCCTGACAAGACCGGACAAACCACATTTTGAGAACATGCATGATGTACGCGCACATAGAAACAGGACGTAGCTAGCAGGCGGTGCATGGAGCAAACCACACTTTGCCGTTTCGACCAGTTGCCACCAGGCGGCGACTCTACTTGATCTTGCGGCCAATCGCGGCAAGGACCAGCACGCAGCTCGTGCCCCCAGAGTAAGAGGGAGCTTCTACAGGATGCGCTCTCAACACACACACAAAAAAAATAAAACGGTCTTCACCCTTTTGGCAGAAGTATGACTTTTTATTAAGATAGGAATTATATGGACAATCAATAGGTTTTCGCTGCCGTTGCCATGTTTAGCGTGCATAAACTACAAGTTGGTATCAAACCCTGCGCATTCTACGTTCGACCCACGCGTAAAATTTCTCAAGCTGAGGTGGTGAGCGCTGCTCAAGCAGAGATTCAACGAGACGGCCAATCTTCATCTCTCGGGGGCCGCACGCGTTAGCATCCCACTGCATGTTAGAACTGCCATTGAATGTTCAAGCAGAGAGGAAACACGCCGCCCGTCCTGAACGAGCATGAAAAGACGCGGTGGAAAGGGGGGTCACTCGAGCAGCAGCCGTGAACTTTGATTGTAATCAAGGGCGTGGTTGCAATAGCTGGTGAGCACAATATCGGCACACGCTCCTAAACCGTTCGACTTGGTGCGCTCTCAACGGGAAGAGATTGTGCAATAAGAGCGTTTCTCCCTCGAGCAGCCGCACTTACTGTCTTACACCAGCGTTTTGTAGTTTGAATGTCGCGATGTTGGATCCAAAAGAGTTGACTGTCAGCCTTAGTCACGGGGTCGTGACGTCAACTAAGGCTCTAGAAGCTGTTTTCATGAGTGAAATATTTGGGCTAACCTGTGCCCGGAAAACGAAACCTCACTATACAACAATACAAGCTGTAGACTTATAGCAGCGAACATAAAGCGTCAGCATTTTTTGTATGCATTCGAAGATTCCAGGGTTATCGCTAGCGGACGGGTAAGTTCCAGAACAAACTGTAATGTACGCATTGTGCGCGTAATTTAATCGAAAGGTTCTAAGATTATCTAGATGGTCCGCAGTTATACAGGTGCGGTTTGCGCAAAGTGGCTTGTGTATTGATGCGGTAACAAAAAAATGCCGTCATATCCACGAAGTGAATGATGATGAGTGGGCGAAGCTCCGGAGGTAAACCTGGTAAACCATGAATCCTCCGTACATTTTGCCCACTCGATTTTATTGCAACGCTCCCCCTAGCGTACGTCACCGCACTATATTGAACGATGACACGCACCATATGTGGCATCATTCCTATTTTATAACACCTCGCATCTTTCATAATCAACTACACTTACCGCCGTCTAGTTTATAACATCTTGCATCTTTTGGACGGACGGACGGACGGATGGACGGATGGATATGGCTGTACCCTTTAGATCGGGCGGTGGCTAGCGTAATACTTAGAACTGAACGAGAGGTGTTTACATACAGGGGACGCACAGCCCACGCCTTAAGGAGCTTCGCTCCTAAAATAGAAAGAAAGGAGCGCGTGCGGCATCACCATTACAACATTACAAATTGTTGCTATTGCAGTCATCAGCTCGCTGGTGACACTGATTTTTTTTAGTTTATATGGCGAAAAACTCGCCGCACCGTTGCCAACCGACCGTCGAGCACGGCACGTGCTCGACGGTTTCTCAAAAACGCTGGGGCGAGTTCTTTGTAACACCACTGCTGTCTTTATAGTGTGACTAGCAGCTTTGCTGTTGAAAGACATATAGAGTCGCATAATGAGGTATGCAACAAATGCCACTTTAACAAAAATCAAGCATTGTGTTCACGCGGCGAAATGATCATGCATGATCCGAAATACGACGTTTGATATGGGCGTGGTTGCGTCCTTTGTGTAGCCCTCACGTGTTGCTCGGCTGATGGTAAAACTCTCGACTAAATTTGGTGTTGCACTTGCATATTGCCGTTTAGGCGCGGCTTGGCGCGACTGGCACAGCACTTCGACCCCAGCAATAAGAGAACAGGGTAAGTCCTATACCCACCATGTATTTCAGACCAAATTTATGTACCTTTTACTCCATAACTATAAAAGTTACATCAATTATTTTACTATCATTGTGATCATAAGTTATTACTCTTCTTACAGGGGCATAATTATCACTGAAGCTTGTAATGCTAATTTTTTGTAGTTTTTTTTTTAGATTATGTACCCGACTATCACCGGTCATTCGATATTAATTGTGTGAAAAAAAAAAGGTACTTAAGCATAGAATAATAATTCTGTCACTGTATATTCTCTCGCACATTCGCTAAATACTGGCTGAAAACTATGTTTCTAGATACAGTGGTTAGTGAGAAAAAGGTGCATAAGTACAAAAAGAAAGCATGTTTTGCAATAATCACATTTAAAGCAAAAAATATGCTTTGCTTCAAAAATACCACACAAAAAAAAACGCCAATTGAACAACATTTTTAATAGGCACCAGTTATATATACTCATCACCAATACCACTTTCTCTTTTAGTTGTGGTGTCTGGCCTGGCGGGCCTCCTTTGTCACCTGCTTCACAACCCTGTCAGCGAATTACTGTCGAAGCAGGTCAATTGAGTGTAGGTCCTGCAATATGTAGCGACCTGGCGAAATTCCAAATGAGTTCAGCACATTCACACGATCTATAAGTATTACCACCACTAAAGGTGATTACAGCGTCAAGACTGCATATTTTCAGTGTAAGGTGTCCGAGAAACAAGTTTTTTGGAGTGCGCTCCCGCACGACATTGTTGAAAGACTCGTTGGGGTTTTGAGTTTTCCCATGGAGGCATTTCGCAGGTAATTTGGGATTGGCAAGTTGCTCATAAATAAGCCTCAAGAACAGATGGCGTAAGGTGGTCTTTGTGAATGTATAGTTCACCACTGAACTGGGCTTTATTGGATTGGTATCCGTTGATGCCATGTGGAAATATGTTGCCCAGAGAGCCTTTCACATGTCCTCTAAGCTGACTGTATTTCTTCTATTGGCTAAACCAAAATACTTTTGTACTCTGCGAACAACGCGCGCGGAAAAGCACCCGCAGAATACTTTACCTGCGACTAAACATTGACTCAGCAGGTGAAGCACTTGTTGCCAGAGCAAATATCATTCCCACTTAACTTTCCAAAAAATTAGTGCCCTTCATTTCGGCGTGTTTTTGGCTGCCCACATGTGCACTCAGACGAACCGTACTTAAGGGGGGTGAAGCAGGCCGCCGCACAAGTTTCGAAATATGCGATTTTTAGACAGAAAAAAGTAACATTACAACAAAAAAATGTCTGATTCTGCTTCAGAAAAAGCTGCAGATTTCAAATCGCACAAAAAGAAAAAGGATTTTTTTCAATATTTTTGCTTTAAAAATTTCATAACAGCTTGACATTTCTCTGTAGTGGCCCTTGAATAAAGAAGAAATATCTAAAAAAACAAAGAGGTCAGCACTGATATAAGCAGCTTCCTTGTTACCACAGGCACTCACAAAGTCTCATGGGTGCATGCATGCTTACATATGTAATAAAGGCTAAGAAAATTCTCTGGCAATAGACTCACCGAAACCACTTTGGCAGAAAGCACAGAATGATGACAAGGTGAAGAGCCAGGAGTGCCAGGTGAAACGTGCGGTTTACAAACAGCTCTTCAGGCAGGAACCTCCAGTTCACCGTCCACTCGTACAGGAACACTCGGCCCAAGTTAAACGCCCCCATCATGTATGAAACCGGGTTGGAGAGCAGGAATGGCAGAGCCAGGACCAGCTGACAACAAAGATGACTTGTTACTCGGAGCACCAGAATATTCATGTCAATGCAATACCTGAACAAGGCCACACAGCCCAATCAGCAGGCATGTCTTCACAAGGCCTCGAGTAGACAGCAAGACGAGGAACAATGCTGGTGCAAAGAGCAGGATGTTCATCTTCACGGAGACAGCCAGGCTAGCAGAAAACGAGAGAGTTCAAGTGCAAACATATCTGCCTTACACTGAGTGAAATAAAAACACTGAAAATCGAAACAGTTTTTTGCACATAAGTAAAGTACAACTTGACAATTCTGAAAACCACTCCATCAGTGACACTTCGTAAGCTAGAAAATGCACAAAAAGGAAGTGCAGGTCAAGATGCCACCTTGATATTTCTGTACCATGATGTCATAAATTTCAAAGGCGTCTACTGGAACATACTTAGCTAATACATTATCATGTGTGGGTGCTATAGACCTAGCATACGAAGTTTCCAAAAGTTTCAATCGAGCTAATGTTGTGAAAATACCAAAAATATATTTTTAAACTTTTGACGTCAACTGCGGAAATTTTGGCACAAAATTTAAAGATGCAACTTCAACCTTGATTTTCTCTGCTAATAATGAATTTATAATAGTGAAACATATGGCATTAGAGTACTCAGAGTGCAGTTTGTCAATTCAAACCTAGTTATTGTGTCTCTTTAGTGTCCCCTTTGAAGAATACCGGCAGAACCCTACTACTGTGTGAAGCTGGCTGTGATGAGTGTAGTGCAACAGCGTGATATTGTCAATGAGGTGTCCTGGGTGCGGTGTTGTAGTAATGTTGCGAATGACGTGACATGACAACGGCACCACACAAGACACATGCATCACAAAAAGAAGGACGACATTGGTAGGGCACAGCGCATGGCGAGCGGACGAGAGCCAATGAGAGGGTGGCAACGAGACAGGTAAGAAAACTACGATGAGCTGGAGTGCAAGGCAGTGTGACCCGCAGAAGCCAGAGGGACCCGGCACTGTTGTCAGGGTCCGTGCTGTCGGAGTCGAGTTTGAGGGGTCTTCAGAACCAGGCTCTCGTGGTTCCTTCTGCTGCCAGTCTCCACTCAATACACAAGGGCAAAGAGGTTACCAATCTGCTGTGCTTAAGGGCACACAAAAACGTCACTTCATCACATCAATGACTTCTGAACCTTCCTTGTCTGCCCCACAAGTGCCAGCACCGCCAAAATGTCAGCGACAACTTCACCGTCCCAGCCACTGGTGACTCTTTTCTCTCTTTGTTCCATGCAAGTTTTAGCATGTTTTGGTTGCTCATATTTTTCCTCGTGTGTGATGAAGCTACGCTTTTGTGTGTGTGTTTCAAGAGGGCTCCTTGCTTTTCTGGTCAGAGCCTCAGTTGACCAGAAACACTAAACCGCATCACACAGGCCAAGTTGCATTGTGCTTTTTGATGGCATATACCAGATGCCTTGCACTTGACCATGCAAGCATGCTTCACATTCACCATTTGAAACACTGGCATTTTTGGTCAGTGTCAGCGCTAACAAAGATGACATTCAAAAGTACCGCAGTTTTATGTGGCGTCGAAGCTGTGAAGAGATGCCCTATCAAGAGGCACCATTATCGATACTGAATGCACGGCGATTTTAATAAGTGGACCAGAGTCAAGGGACAACAATGGTTGCACGTGGCACCAACAGGCAAGAAAGAGTGTTCCACACTCGCCGCAATGGCAATAGGCTGTGCTAACTGATGCTCCCACATTTAAATGTACATGATATATGCCTTCTATAGTGAACAGAGGAAGCTCAGTTCAAAGGTAAAGATCCTGACAATGGCGAGTCATCTTTTAGTCTTTCTAAAACGGAGAGGCCAGGTTGTGCGCCAAGTTAAGATCTTATATATTTTCTGTTCAAGCAATAAAGCTTTCAGTTTTGAGTAAGCACTTGTGGTGTTCACTTTCCTGTCTTCGTCCTTCTTTACGCTACTTTTACGCCAGTATGAATTTCTTCTAATAACATACCCTGTACTTTTCTTGGCATCATTTTCTTTTAATTCTCATTAATGTAGAATCGAAAAAAAAAAATACAAGCCCTTAAATTTATGAATATGAGATCATGCAATTTAAGCTGTTGATGTCATGACATGCATTCAGCAAGAAGCTGCCTTTTGCGAGAATCGCGATGGGATGGAGTGCACGAAAAACAACTGCAGCTGCCAGATTTTCACATATGCAAGTTCAATCCAGCCATACAGCATGCTCTGAGGAACTGCGATGTTTGTGGAGAGCTTTTAACAGGCGTTATGATGAGCCAAATGGCATTGGAACACCCCCCATGCTCGAATGGTGGGTGTTCCTGGAGTGAGGCTTCACAGTGTGTATGAGTCAAGGGACTGGTAGAATTTCGCCGTCGGCTGCTCCTATCTCAACTTTGAGGATGTTCAGTATTTATTGTCCAGTGGGGCTCTTCGATTTTCCACTTATGGCTACCCGCGGGCTGCCAGAGCCAGCCAGAGCGTGCTCGTTTTTCTTAGGCTGCTCCGTCCACCCCCCCCCCCCCCCCCCTGCGGCGCACTTCCGGTTGACGTTTGTTTTTCTCGGGTGGGTAGCCCGAGGGTCGTGGGACGCTTCTAGGACAATTTAGTCTTGGAAGCTCCCTGGAAGGTTTTGGGCGGGTTTTGGGCTAGCAGACGCCGAAAAGGTACGGTAGGCGCTCGGCGCCATCTTTGAGAGGACTTGTCGGATTACAATGTGGGCACTTGAAGACTGCGCCTTCGCTTGTCATTACACACGGCGTTATCTTCTAAAGTCTGTCCCGCCTTGCAAGATGAGGCGATTACGAGTGGAGGCGAGTGTTTGGAGCTACTGTTCATCACTATTGTTATGTTTCCCGTGAAGCTTCCTCCTGAGAACAACGCGGCGAACTGTTGCCTGCTGGTTGCGTCGCGCACATGCCTCAAAAGTTGTGTACTAGTTCATATGCGAGCATAGAGACAACTTTGGAGTTATTTTTTTTGTAGCAGTCGAGACCTTGGTAGTCGTTTGTGGAGCCGTGCGTGCTTTCTGTGCACTTAGCGAAGACGATTGTGGTCGAACTAGCTCGCTCCTTTGTATGTTTGTGTGCGTGAACCTCTTAGAACCTCTGTTCTTACTACTCGATTGATCTTTGATGGTGATAGAAGGCCCTAGATCACAACTCTTGGTGATGCTCGCTGGTCGCGAGCGGCGTGCGAAACTACTTCGATCTATGGGCCAGCATATGTGGTATGATGTTACACGATACGATGCGAGAAAAAAAAAAAAAAAGGAGAATGAATTCAGAAATGTATACATTCTTTCATTACCCATTTTATCGTTGGCTTTGTCTTGTTTCACTTCTTCATAATAATGCCGTGCAGTATGTACTATGACCTAGTAGGTCAAATCAAAGCTGATATACATGACATTTGTTAAGTACCATAATGACAAGAAAACAGGCCCAGGCAAGTTCCAAAACGAGTCCGAAACGTGTCATGCAGAAGTTTATTTTATATACGCCACGCACTTGTGGTACCAATACCTACGCAAGTCTAAACTCTAAACTTTAGACAAAAACGTAAGTTGGTCAACGCATGCTTGCGACGCATACTACGCAATAGCTGAACAGGTATATATCCTCGAGCTCTTTTGGCGACATGATCACTTTCGCGTGATTTCGCGTCGTGTTGTGCACTGACTGATACATGTACTAAAAAGACGTGAGCTTGTTAAGCCATCAGCATCGCAGCAGCACACCTTGCATCGTTCTCGAGGAGGGGTGCACCAGCTGGCCGTTTCAGACGCGGCGCCTGATGGTGCGAGCGTACGAAGTCGTTCCCCAAATGCGTACGCTCGAGGATATTATTTCAGCTTTTTGGCGAGCTTAGCTACGTATTTCCAAATGGACAATGTAGGAAAAAACCAACGTGCACGCGGCGCATCGTTTCGTTTGCTGCAATGGCGGTAGAGTTTGTTTGCGTTTACGCTGGCTGTCCCAGTGTTTGATTTTGCGATGTTCGGGCAGCTTCGAGTTGTCTCGGGTTCCCCACACACGTGACCACAACGTTATTGCCAGTCCAGACCGGAACTAGCTGACTGATCTCTGGCTAGCTCTGGCTGCCAGAGAGCTGCCAGAGGCCTGAATATCGAAGACTCTTGCCTTAGTGACGAACTGAGCCAGGCTAGTGTGCCGTGCACTAGCCTGGCTCAGTGTCCTGGCTCACTAGCGTGGCTCACTAGCCTGGCTCAGCATCACTCCACGGGGCACTACTGTCGCTGGTGCCGGCATAGGAAATGCCACTTGTGGCACCTTTGTGCACCGGGAAGAAAGGCTGCGACGTCGAGTTTCCACCGAAGATGGACCTGGGACCACCATATTGTGCGCCTCTGGCTGATAGGCCACCCATGCTCAATTCAACGCCAGATGTCCAAGGACGTGCAGTTAGTATGATGCACCCATTAGCGGCGTGTTGCGTTGTGGCACAACTAATGCGGCTGCAGCCAAGCGGAGGTTCGGGCTTGGACCCGGGCAGACGCTCAAGTGCCGCAGTAAAGCGTCTTTTCACTGGACTACGGCTCCTCCTTCGCGCTGCCGCCATGCACTCGAGTCATTGAGGGGCGTCCATTCCGAACCTCAAACACCTTCCCTCCTTAGCTAGTGTGGAAGCTAGTCGAGTAGTGAGGAAATTAACTCAAGCCATCATAGTTGCCTGGCCTGCGACCACTGTTAGACAGCATGGGTGGTCAGCCGTAGCAGCGACAAGACGGGCTCGGAACACTCCGCTTGCTCGAGGCATGATTTGCCTTATGCGACAGCGTTGCCGGAGCAATACATATTTCGAGTTGTGTGTGTGTGTGTGTGTAGGTGGTGGTGCTGGCTAAATGACCCTAGGAAGTGGCTACTTAATTTGGTGAAAACATCGTTCCCTATTTCCCTGGGCCTGGCCTCTAGGGACTGCGAAAAGACAAAAAGCAGTAGGTGAATGCCTGAAGAGATTCATTTCTGTTTCGAATGCTCATTCAGAAAAAAATGTAAATAAATTTCTCATACTCCTCAGTCCGGTCCTCTCTAACGGGCAGCTCCTCTAGAAGACGAGGTTTGCGACCGCCTGCCTTGTCGCCAAGACCTCAACAAAGGCCACCATACAGGCTTTGTGAATCCCAGGGTGGCTATTT